TGTTTCCAACAAGTTTACAAAATTTATAAGTAATTCGTGTGAAAACATAGCAACTTTATACAAGCACATGTACATATATTTGTGTTTTTGGAGCAACCAGCTGCCATCCGCCAACTCCCGAACTTGGTTTGCTGGTGATTTGACTTCGTGATCCTTCAACATCTTGCTACAAATTCACGCATAAAAGTTTGGGCGCATACTTACATACATATATGTATATGTACATACAAAAGTACATCTGTCTGTGTGTATGTGTATATGCATTCGTAATTTTTGTGTTCATTGCTCTCGCTGCATTTGCGACCACATTACCACCCTATTAAGTCGGAAGGTTTATTCTTTGCATTATAAGAATTTCTTTGTCTTGATATTAATTCTAAGAAAAACCAAGCACAGTGTCACGGTACTTACAAAAATCTACTTAAAATATTAAATTGCAATAAATTTGAAAAATATAAAAAATATATAATATTTCTTTTCGTGAAAACAGTATCTCCCTCTATCACCACAACCCAAGATTATGATATTAAAATATTAAACTCAAATAGTTGATGGAAGGTCCTGAGACAACAAGCCAGATCTCTCGAATAGTTTTAAGGGGTTATTGAAACGGCATCCTATCTGGTATTGTTAAGGACAAAAACTGACCTACGCAGTAGCTCACTAGCCTAAGTTAAGTTGACCTAACTTTACCTTTAAGAGGTTATATACTCGTAGTAAAAAAACCTAAATTTTTGTGAATTTTTTCTCTTCATTTCTTGACTAGTTTTAAGTGATTTGTGATTTATTATATTTAGAGAATCAGAGAGTAAGAAATTAAACACTTATATTTCCCTAATATTATATCCGAACCAGAAAGACCTCTAAAACAGAGTCTGACGATGAAAAAAAAAAAAATGTCTGCTTAACTTTTATCAAAAAATGGTTAATATTAAATTCCAAAAATCGAAGTTTTTGTCAAAAATATTATTCCTTCTACATCGAAGAAATTTTCATCACCGAATCCGAAAACAACGTTCCCAGAAAAAATCCTTTAAAGTTTAGAAATCTAATTTAAAAAAAACTTATTTGCACTTATCTCCGAAACTATTTTCCGGATCAACTTCATTCTCAAATATCTATGTATATTCGGTATACAACAAAAAAAAAAATTTTAATTCGAATATATCCTATCAAGTGAAAATGAAGTTGATTTTACAATAAAACATCCGAGCTTTACATAAGATTTAGTTTGAAGTTGAAAATTTTCACTTAAAATGTGTCGTAATAAACTCTTTTATGAAATGAAAAATGAACTATTTTGTGGAGTCAATAATTCTCTGCAAAAAAAACTTTATTCTTACTTAAGATTCCCACTTCCTTTCATTATTAAACACTTCCGAAATATTTTTGGTTGTCGAGTAAGACCACAGTGCAAGTGAGTGAAGACATTATCCAGGCAGACAACTAGCTGAATTTTTAACGCCAAACGGTGCGTCGAACTCGGTTCGCCACCCATTTTATGGCCATATGCCATACTGTTTGCAAGTCCATGCAACGCCGCAGACGCTTGCTTATACATAATGCTTGCGCACATTTTTATTGTCTACATTTTAATTTATTTTCAATAAATTAACAAAGAAATACCAAAAGTAAGCGCCAATACTGACAGATGCTTAGCAATTGCTGGGAGTGTGTGGCCAATTTCCAATTGGATAAAGAAATAAACCTAATGAATGTAATTAAATTTTAAAGTCAATAGACGTTTACTTAGAAAACTGACTTACAATAATTATTTTTTTACACTCTTCAAACATTTTTAATTCGAAATTTCTGTTTATAATGTAGAAAGGGACTTTGCCCAATAGTGGTGGAGCCAAACAATAGCAGCCGCTTTCTAAAGTGAGTCTTCAGTTCGATTATAGGATTAAAATTGAACGGTAGTGGATGATTTATAATATAAATTGAAAATATTTACCGTTTTGGAACCCCCAAACGTTTGAGATATCATTCTCTAAATTTTCACACCTTCTTTCCTATCCAAGAAGCTGCTCATTTCACGGACCATATGGCAAAAAGCTGTCATTCAAACTGAGCGATCAAAATCGAGTCCTCGCAAGAAATTTTTTTTGTTTGATAAGATACACTCTGGAAATTTGGTCTGAATTATTATTCCAGACATAGCAAACAACTGCGAGCAAATTGTGCAGATCGGCTCAAAAAAGTACATATATAGCTGCCATACTACACTAACCAAAAAAGATATATGTATGCTATAAGAAATGTACTGGAGAAGCATATCAGAGCTTCGATGTAGCCAAACTTAACGGTTTTTGTACTCCTCGACAACCGAGACGAGGACGCACTCCCTTGAGACGCTCTGAAATCAAAAATAGAGTGAGCACAAATCGCTACTGGGTAGCGCTCATGCAGTAGTACTCATACATATCTGCACAAACATACTCGTAAGTTGTAATGAAAAGTTTCAATAATTAATTATAGTGTTTTTAATTTCCTGCCGCGCCATTAGGTGCAAGAAAAGCTTGCAAAGCGAAGAAGCCACCCCTTTACGTTGCTTTTATTTTATTTTTATTACACATTTCATTTAATAATGAGCTTTGAGCGCGGCTGTTCGCACAATACGCAATTTATTCGCCCTTTAGGTAAAAGAAATTATTTGCGCACACACACACACGTGAAAGACGCATGTACATATGTATATAAGTATGTAAATAAATAAATATGTAAATACAGGCATCGCAATATTAATCCACAGTATGCGCTCTATTTTTGACCTCTTTTCGCTTGCGCCTCGTGCACTGCAGGTGTCGTCCTACCTTAGTCATCCGGCTGTACAGCTAGGCCGCTAGGCCGCGCTTACTTCAGCGCATAAATGCATTTTTATTAAAAATTACGGCATTGGGGCATATTTATTGTAAGTGCATAACAAAGTAGGCGCATTCAAATGACAAACATTTTATTATTCGCCGTTTATGCATACAAAGTACGAACAAATAAAATGTAAAAATATTTGCAAATTTACTTAAATTGTTCAGGTAATGATTTTTCAACTATAAACATACTTATAAACTTACAAAATTACATAAATATATATGTATGTATATGTATATAAGTATGTTCCATTGCGAGCTTTTGTTGCTATTGTCGGTTTTTCGCAAATTAGTTAGTAATTTAGTGTATTGTTTTTTTTTTTTTGCTTAGTTGCAATTGTTTATGTACTTAGTTATTCGCCATTTATTTATGTAAATGTGAAATTGAAAATTTGCATAGCACACAATGTAGCGCAAGCACACACACGGACGGAGACATACGCGTGCCTGCGACCGCGGCCAAACACTCAAGTTTGCCTAACACAAACACACGCACATATGTATATGTATGCACATGTGTAAATTTGCAAGTTTGTAGGGACCTATTTACCCGCGCGCCGCTGCCCAACTGCAATTTGGTTAAGTTAAGCGCAACTTGAGTGCAGCCTAGTGGCCCACATGGCCGTGACAGACGTGCGCCAGCACTCTACCCCCGCTGCCGGCTCGCCAGCCCTCAAGATACTTACTAAGCAAACGGTATTTGTTCAGCACACGCACACAAAGTCACAAGACAAACAAACAGTCAGCTAGTTAGTGCCGCAGTCATTCGCTCAGTTAGCTGATTTTCCTATCAGCCTAGAAATGCAGCCGCTTGGCTTGAAATACTTTTTCATTTTATGTTAATGACAAAATTGCATAATGAATTTAATGTAAGTGCACACACACACGCATGCAGGCAAATACATATATACTCGCCTAAATAATAATCATGACAACAATGTGTGTGTGTGTATGTGTGCCTGTGTTCGCTTAAATGTCTTCAAAGTCGAATAGTGCCTTGCAAACGGAGTAAATATTGACAGAAGAACGCATGATTTCTAGTTATTTAACAATTTATTTGATTTTTACTTTGTTTTATGCAAATTAAGTTGCTCATTTATGATTTAAGCTTGATTATACTTAAATGTGCATTTTAGCTCAGTAATTGCGTTATCTACGGTTTGATAATGTGCCTTAATTGAAGGTGATATCAGTCCTAAAAAATATTGTTTGTAAGAATTTTGGTTAAATTTTTCTGGAAAGCTTAATTCCATGCAGATCCCGATCGAACCGTTACCGTTACATCTGAATAGCATTGTTGTTGCCCTTTCTTACATATTTAATGATAATTTCGTTTGCACTGAATTCATAATATGAACGCTTCAAAAATAAACAAGCTTCCATGCTCGATTTTGATCGTCCAGTTTGTAAGGTGCGATCTAAACATGCTGAGCGCTGTTTGTACCATTGCCATGGACAATAAGCCATGTCAAAATGAAGATATCTTGTCAAATAAATAGGGGTTCCAACGGTTTACTCTAAGTGTTAGAAACTTCGAGGAAAACTTAAATGTTTAAAATAAACCCGAACATGCAGATAAAGTAAATCGAAAGCACATATTTATTAATCGGAACACTGTTGTCATCAGCGAACTTCTGGGCGCGAACTAGAAGCACCACTCTTAATAAGGCAAGAACCAATCCTACTAATCATTCGGATACCATCTTCTTAAAATCATTAACGTAATAATGCAGCATTTTTTCAACACAGTTTTAATTATAAAAAGATTTGAATTTCTACTGTTTAGATGGATTTTTGAGATCCCCTTGGAGGCCTTGCAGTCTTCATATTTTGAGGAAATCTTTAAATATAACATAGATATAAAGCGATAATATAATATAAATGTATTGATGTGACAAAGAAAAAGTTATTCTTAGTTCACGGTGGAAAAAAGAGAAAACCGTAATAGTAGACAGCACTGAAAGTCATAAATAGTAGGAGTGTATTTAGAGCCATACTTTCTTCGTGTGTTTCTATAGTCATTTTAAAACTATGTTCTTATTGCGATATTTCAAAATAATAAAAAAAAACTTCATCAAAATACAACCTCTTAAAATGTCAAATTATTTATAACATTGTATAAACACTTACCCTTTCTTCCTCGCGAATCATTTCAGCGATTTCTGGTTTGATCTCCAGCTCATCATGATGTCCCACCGCGGATGAAATATTTGCAGCCCCAGCGGCTCCTGTGCCAGCGGCGCCTGCGCCAGCACCAGCAGCCAGAGAAGCGCCTAAGGCTGAAGCCATAGCCGCGTGTGAGTGCGCCGCTGCATGCAACTGATGTTGAGCGGCCAACTGTTGGGCCGCAGCTGCGGCATGATGATGATGATGGTGCGGGTGATGCGGATGATGTGGATTCACGCCCAAAGCAGCTGCGGCGGCGGCGGCGGCAGCGGGATTGGAATGTACATTCAAGGGCATGCCGCTTACAGTAGCTCCTGCTGCTGCGGCTGCGGCTGCGGCTGCGGCTGGCGAAGACATTGCACCTTTCAGACTGCTGGCCGAGGGCATAGATGGTGGACGATATGAGTGACTGGTGGCAAGTGATGTGGGTGTGTCTGGTGCAGTCGGTGTTGAGCTGCAAAGCGTAGGTGTTGATGAGCTCGCAGCCGTTGGTGCTGAAGCTGTTGCAATGGCGGACTGTGAGTTGCTTTGATTGGCATTTGCAGCGGCGTTGTTGGTAGTGTTGGGGTTTGGCGAAGCGAAAGGATTGCGTACAATGGTGGATGTAGTCACGGCAACGGGTGGTTGTTGTGGGGCACCACTAACATCAGCGCCACTTATTTCGTCAGTGGTAGCGTTGGTTGTTTGCTTATTGGGTTCCGCTGACTCGGTTGTTGGCTGCATTGAAGCATTGGCACCGAAACGCGACATATTGCCATCGGTGAATAGACCATCTCGCGAACGTTTGCGCTGACGCTGTGCAGCCAAATTTAGATCAAGTGCGGCAGCATGTGGAAAAACCTTGCTCATTGAAGAATCCAACATACGTGCGCGCTTTGGCTTTTGGCAACCATCTTCGGCACTTTCGGTATCATCGTCGCTTTCGACATCCTCCTCTTCATCGAAAATGGTCATGCGCTGTTCGGGCATCATAGGATGTGGTGCGGCCATACCATGGCCACTGCCGGCGCTCACCTCCGCCAAACCGCGTATTTTCAACATTTCGGCGACTTTCAGCAAAGGATTTATCTGCTCTTGACTGACATTGATCTCACCCTTGTACATGAACTCCATTATGGCCTTCAGCTCTTCCCATCTCACATCGCGCATTATAATTATGGGATGCTGGCAAGGATTATCGTAGAAGAGCGCTTGGAAGTACGGCGAGCAAGCGGATAGCACCATCTTGTGCGCCTTGATGGACTGACCTTCGCATGCGAGCGTTACATCTACAAAGGACTCATTCTGCAGCAGTTCATCGAAGACATTTGTCAAATTGGTTTGATAGTTGTTCCAGCGCAAGCAGAACTGTTGTTGCTGTGAGTTTGTTGTCACCGCAGCGGCTGCGGCCAATTGCTTCTTCGACTTCAAGCCGAGCGGCGAAATGGACTTACGTGCCGCTAACGGTGCTGACTGCTTCGTCAACTTCGATATGCCCATTGGGATATGCATCGCACCATCCAGACCGCGTCGCTGCTCGAATCCAAACAGCGCAGCATTCATACGCGTCAATATCTCCGCTGAAGCTGAGTCCAAGCTGCGTCTGTGATGATCGGGCGATGTGGGTAGGGAACGTGACTTGGGTAGCTGCACGTCAACGTGCAAGTCAGGATCATCATCAAGTGCCGAGCTCAAGCCAACCACTTCGCTGCTAGTGAAGGGGCGTGGTGGTGGCGTTATATCACCACTCATGATTGCGCCCACAGTCTTGGCTGCTGCAATAGCAGTTGCTTCACTGGTTTTGTCAACCGACATGCTATTCGCCGTTTCAGCTGCCGGCTGCGGCTCCATAGCGTTTGCTTGTGTTGATTTGTGCTGTTCGAGTTGCTGCGCGGCGTGTGCTGTGTTGACCGGCGTTTGCTCCGGCACCTCGTTATAGGCGTTGATTGTTGTTGTGATTTTAGCTTCGACTATATTGCTGCCAATCTGAAATGGTGAGGCTGCGGCGCATGCGCGTGTGTTTGTTTCGTTCTCACTGATCTCGGATAGTGGCGATTGATAGCCGGCAATTAAGCGGTCGGCCGTTTCGGTGTGTTTTTGTGTGTAGTCAATAATGTCTTTTGTCATATCCATTTTACCTTCGATTTTTGTAGTATATTTCAGTATTCAGTTTATTATAAAGTTTTTAAGCACTTGTTTTCAAAGTTAGCACATTTTTAAAATAGTTCATCGGGCTTTCTCTTGTCACTGATTTTTTTATACTTCTAAATTGTTTCTGTTCAAATAAAGACTGAAATCAATATTCAACTGCACTATCGGTCATATACATAATGTATGATATGATTGATAGGCATTGATATTTTACTTTGAATATCCTGTAAATGCTTAACTTAGTCGAAAAACTATACAAACTATACAATTTTTGTGCAACAGGAAATTCCTACACAACTATGAGCTTTCCGATTTATATGAATATATATTTTTTTCATTTTTATACAATTTATAAGGAAAAAACTTGGCCTTGAAAGAACAAAAATTCAACCGTTAATATTTTTTAAACTGTTAGGTATTCAATTAACTAAAAAACGAAATGTTTTTCAAATAGTTAGAAGCGAGATATGGATTAATTTTATCTGATAATAAGAAAAAAATTGGGGACCTAACGCTACAGTTAACAGATCATACTTGGAGATAAAAGTGCCAAGTGAAAAAAATATTCAGGTTTTTACCCACCCTAATAGTCATATATACTGTATCCTTCGGTTTGATTTCCTTTGGAATATAAAAATAATATTGATCAAATTTAATTTTTAAAATATTTTTAATAACAATTTACACTTTTTCAAGACCTTAATTGTAAATAATCTATCGTTCCAAGCAAGTTTTTCTATATACACATACATATGTATGTATACATATAAAGTGGAAAGAATTTAAATGAATTATGATTGAAGAAGGCTTCAAAATTAATTTTTTTACTGTTTATTTTTCTAATTCGTGTTTAAAATTGATTATGCAAAAAATAAAGATTAATACACAGAAGTTAAGCGAAAATCTCTATTTCGGTAAAAAAAAAAAATTTTTCAAAACATCTGCAAAATCTGGAAAAACGCTTTTAGTTTTCGAAAACTAAGTCATTGTGTTTTTAAAGATACAAAAAAGCGAAAAGTATATTAATTTTCACACTTTGAAAGAATAACCGTAATTTTCTCTCAAAAATTCTCAAAATAGTTTTGGAATTTAAAAAATATAATTTTTTTTCAGTGAATAAATGTTTATATGTATATGAGTTTATTAGCGGCTTTTCAAAAGGCGATTGAGTTTCAAATTAAATTAATTAATTATTAATTCAATCATTAGAAAATATTTCAATAAACTTTAGATAAATCATTTATTAGTCTAAATTTTAATTTTTGGAAATCTGTATAGATTCTGAATTTTTGTTGACTACTTTGTGATAGCATGTTGTTTCCTTAAATAAAGAAACTATTTAACATTTCTGTGTGTTTAAC